CTAGTCTCTTGTGTGCCAACCCACAAATGTTGTGGTACAGCTTGTTTTGATTTGGTTCAATGTTGAACCCAGCTTAGCATGATCTTTTACTTGAGTTTAGCAGCCAAAAGCACCACAATGTGCTATGGATCAAATCCCGAAACTAATCAAGCATTCTTTCTTCTTGCTGTATCGTTTTTAGATTAATTTTGTTGAGTCTCTTCGAACTTATAGAGCAGTGGTTCCCAAACTTTTCCTAGTTGCGGCGCCCTTTTTCAATTTAAATTTTTCCATGGCGCCCTACCCTAAGTATGACTATTCGTAAGTAAGAGATAAAAATAAATAAAACGCGTGTATCTTAATTTTTTACTTTATTGACATTAAATTAATATTTTATAAGTAATGTGATGGGTGAGCCTACAAATCACTGCACATTTTCTCAAATTGAACCTTTTACAATATTTCGCAGCGCCCCTGTAAAGAGGCCGCGGCTCCCTGGGGCGCCTCGGCGCACAATTTGGGAATCATTGTTATAGAGCATAGAATGTAAGCATCTAGTTGGAACCGTTACACAAAGCACTTATGGTCTGGCCAATAGTTAATTGCTTAATAATGGTTAGATTTTCATAGGTTTCCTTCGGTTGGGGGCTATTATGTATTTTATTTCAAATACGATGCCAAAGCATGTCTGAAGGATGTAATGTAATATTCTTCGAAAGAGCTGGTGTGATTATTTTATCTTTATAAACCTCATAAGTCCTTTTTTATGGCAATTTTTCCGGCTCATTCATTTACATGCCCAGGTGGATACCAGGCCGAGCATTAAAGCTGCAAATAGGTTTACACCCAGCGAGACCACTTCCAAGTCAAACGGAAATCAAGAGCTCGAAAAACACGTAAGCTCAACGAATTTTCCGCCAAAAGGGACAAACCAATCGAACGCAAACACCTTTGGCACAAATATCAATAAAAACCGACACCTTCCACCACCTCCAGCATCCTCGCAGCATCAACAACTGGCGAATCCTGAAATCCCCACTGATTCAGCAGACACGCCTAACCAGCTATTATCGCACCCTCCCGGGCAGATGCATCCAGATCAACAGTACCAGCATCAGTTACGATCTGTCCCCTCATGTATGGCTGGAAATTCCAAAGAGCCAGGCCTTCGGAGTCGACAGGACTTACACGCGCCCCAGACAATAGAAACACAGGACGGTGCCGAAAAGCGACGGCACCAACAAAGATGTGGTGTTGTTAAGTGTGAGATTGACACCTCGCGGCCGGAACCAGTGGTACGACATCATGTGGATGTAAGATAAAATATTTACGGCAGTTCTCGTCGCAAATTTCTAGTCTTAAGCATTTTGCCTCGTTAAAATACAATCTTACATACTCAAGGATATCCTCCCATTGTACCCAGGAATT